GTGCCAGCTCCTTCCACTTGACCGCATCCAGCGCAGAGCGGCTCGAATCGTCGACGACCGAGCCCTTTCCGATCGGCTAGATTCATTGGCACTGCGAAGAGATGTTGCATCTCTTTGCATTTTCTTTCGCATCTACCATGGGGAGTGCTCTGAGGAATTGTTCGGATTAATCCCAGCCGCCAAATTTCACGAACGCACATCGCGGCAGAACTCCCGATACCATCCACACCATCTGGATGATTGGCGGTCCACCACTGTGCGATTTAGAAGATGTTTTCTTCCTCGCACAACTTCCTTGTGGAATAGTTTACCACCAGGGATTTTTCCGGACCGATACGACTTAGGGACCTTCAAGAAAAGAGCCTACTCCTTTTTAAAAGGCCGGCAACGCATCTGCAATTCCCCTGGTGTTGCGGTTGTTCATGGGCGGCGGTAGTCACTTACCATCAGGTGAGCCGCATGCTCGTTTGCCCCCTCTCCTATAAAAAAAATAAATAAAAAAAAATAAAAAAATAAAAAAAAGTTTTCATTTCGTTTCGATTAAGCGTTTGGGAAGCTCTACATCTCTAAAGTATATTTATTATTTTATGTAAGTATGTACTTACTGAATATTTTTTCGTGTAATATCTTCCGCACACGCCCGTTTGTTACCTTGGGCCCCTAGGCAAGTGCCTAGTTTGTGAAAGCTCCAGGGTGGCCCCCGAAATTCAAATTTTCTTACGTTTTTTGGAATTTGCAGGTCAGGGTCAAGTTATATACTTAAGAAAATATGATTCGCGACCGTAACGAGTATTTGTTTACAGATTTAGTCGTATTATCATTAAATCACCAATACAACCCTCTAAGGTCATATAATCCCTTTGAATGAGTTTTTCTGGAAATAATCATACAATGGGATTATACGAACTTAGGGGGTTGTATTGATGATTACAATGATTATAATTCTGTAAAATCGGACGTCATGCAGCGATGGAGCGAATTTTATAGAGAAATGTATGCGTGTGATGATCTTAGTGAGGAATCCGGGGATGACGCTGTGACTGGTACGCCAGACCCGGACCTCGATGAGACTGAAGTCATCAGTATGAAAGAGATTGAACGTGCGATTCGAAGTTTGAAATTTGGTAAGGCTGCGGGACTAGACAGAGTTACTGCTGAAATGGTCAAGTATGGTGGGCCTCGCGTCTGGGACTGCTTTCATCTGCTGTGCAATTTGTGCTGGCGGACGGGGGATGTCCCGGATGATTGGCGATCCGCAGTCATTGTGCCTTTATATAAAGGTAAAGGTTCACATTTTGACTGCGGGTGCTATCGGGCGATCAGCTTGACCAGTTTAGCAAGTAAAGTTTACTTGAAGGTTTTGACACGTAGGATGCAAGAGGAATCGGAAAGATTTCTATGGGAGGCACAATGCGGATTTAGACCTGGAAGAGGATGCACGGATCAAATGTTTTCTCTCCGCATGATCACGGAAAGGCTTCTGGCTGCTAACCAGAAGATTTTCTGTGCTTTTGTGGATCTTGAGAAAGCATTTGATAAGGTTGTAAGGAAGAAAATGTGGGAACTGTTGCCGGGGTATGGTGTGGATGGTCGATTGCTAAGGGCTGTGCAGTCTCTTTACTGTGACTGTAAAGCCTGTGTGCGGGTAGGGTATGACCTGTCACCCATGTTTAACGTCCAAACGGGCGTAAAGCAGGGTTGTGTCATGTCTTCCTGGCTGTTCATACTGTATCTCGACAGCTGTTTACAGAAGCTGAAAGATAGCTGTGTGAGTGTGAAATTGGGTGACATAAAAGTAAATTGTCTGCTGGGTGTGTGCTGATGATGCAGTGCTTATTGCACCATCAGAGGCAGAACTGCAGGCATTAGTCACGTGTATGAAAGAGGAATGTGAAATTAAAGGTCTCCGTTTGAATGCTAATAAAACTAAGGTTCTGGTATTTGAAAGGGACGAAGAGAGAACGAAGTGTGAAATATGGGTAAATCAGGAATGTTTAGAACAGGTAAATGAAATTGTATACTTGGGGAGTGCTTTTAGCCGGGATGGAAGATGTGATTTAGATGTGGACAGGCGTGTCGCTGCCGGGAACAAAGTCAATGGTGCCCTGACTGCGTTAGTCAAAAGGCAAGGCGTAGCGAAGAGTGCACGCCTTGCAATACATAACGCAGTGTTGGTACCTACTTTGTTATATGGCAGCGAAACCTGGGTATGCCAGAAGAAGCATAAAAGTAAGTTGAATGCAGTGGAGATGCGATCTCTTCGTAAAATGTGCGGCGTTACCATGGCCGACCGAAAGCGAAACGAAGAGATTCGCAATATGGCAGGTTTGAAAGATGACCTTATCACAAAAATTGATAAGGGCATGCTTCGGTGGTTTGGGCACGTTGAGCGAATGAGTGAAGACCGAATGGTGAAGAAAATATATAGCGCGAAAGTTAATATTAAAAGGTGTCGAGGTAGACCGAGACTAACTTTCGAAGACCATGTGAGCAAATCGCTCGAAGAGGGTAGGGTCAAGAGTACTCGGATACCTAGACGTGCATGCATGAAGAAGATAATGAATCTGAAAGAAGCGAAAGAGGTTTGTAAGGATCGTGACACTTGGCGATCTGTTCTCTCTGGCTACCCCGTCAGGGATTGTGCGTGAAGATAAGTAAGTATAATTCTGTAAATAGATACTCGTTACGGTCGCGAATCATATTTTGTTAAACATACAAGTGAGAGTGAATGAGAATGGTCGTAATATTTATATATTGTAGATAATGTTTTAAAGAAAGTTCCGCTGGATTTCTTGCTGGTTCTTCCAAGGACAGAGACTTTTTTCGAACCAATGATAAGGCTTAAATGACTTTCAATAAATATTCTTTTGATCTATCTATATATAAAAACATCTTACGTTACTGTCCGTTAGTCTCGCAAAAACTCGAAAATGGCTCGACCAATTGTGATAATTTTTTTTGTGTGGGTGACGCGCTGACACTTCGTTTCCCTAAAACCCTCTCTGAAATGAGAGGAGAGCTCAGCTAAGGGATGCAGGTATAAAGGCTAATTTAATTATATTGAAATACATGTACGCAACTCAAGAGTTTACAGATACATTGTTAAATATGAAACACAGGTTTAGAGTAAAGCGATGGGCATATTATAATTTATTTGTGTTCTGAACAGGATTATTTCTATGACATCACAGAACATTTTGTTACATTATTTACAAGTTATGTAGCTACCGACAACTTACACAAACTTGTTTAAGGGTTTCAATGCATACACAATTGGAATAGATATTTTAAAGAAACAAATAAGGCGATAGGCAGCAGCTGTTTATAAATAAATTTTGTAAATAGTTTGTACAGTCTTTCATATTGTAAAATTCACTTTTAAAAAAGTCCCGCTGGGTTTCTTGCTGGTTCTTCCCAGACAGGACAGAGGTTTTTCCCCGAATCGATGGTAAAGTAAAAAACGTCTCAATAAGAATTACATGTGATCTATATTGATTAAAATTATTCTATTCCATTCTAGCGTCTTTCTAATAACGACTAAAAATAAAATAAAACTAGTTGCCAACACGCTTGCCAAGCGTGGCAACTATGGCAATTTCCCCCCTACGGGATAATTTTTGGGAGAGGCCTATGTTCAGTAGTGAACTTTAATAGGCTGTAACAGTAACGGTTCAATTTAATACTTTCATCGTCACACGGTCCTTAGCCGCCTGGATCCATTCATCGACCAACTAGATCCATCGACTTCTTGCATCTCTTACTAGGTGGTGAGTATTAGGGTTAACTCAATATAGTGGGGGTCCACACTACACATCGCTTACAGTTTTCCGTACGAGGCTGCCACTTGGAAACCTCCCTTTCTCATCGGTTGTCTGTTCTGTCCTTCGAGTTAGACGGCCCATTGTTACTTAAGCTTACTGATCCATTGGGCTATGTCGATTACTTTGGTTCAATTGCGGATATCCTCATTACAAAGTCTATCACGTATAGAAAATCTGAGCATAGCCCCCTCCTCCGACAGCAGTGAAGGATCATGTCTCAGATCCATATTAGGTTATTACTGTAACACGCACCTGTACAATCTTGTTTTCAAGTTTTGAGTTATACATGATTCACAATATGAAATTGATTAACAAAGGGTTGATACCTACTTTTACAATTTATTTCGGGCATTCTTTTAAATCTGGATTTATCCAGCATTAATAGTTACACACTATTGACGTGAAGAATTTTAATATTACATAGGTGCGCTTTTAGTTCATGAATTCTCAATTTCCATAGTTTCCAATTGCGTAGGCATTGAATCGACATTGAAGAAGGATTAGGTACGATCTACTTTTATACGTTTTGAAATCATAAAAAAATATTATTGTGAAAGTATTCTTTGGTAAAACATTCAACTTTTACAAATATTTCATATAGATGACGTCACAAACTTAAAATATAACAATAAATATATTTTAATATATAATAAATATAACAATAGTACCTACTACAAAAATTTGTTTTTGTTTTTCACACAAATACATAAGAATTGGTTAAGGTTGTACCTTTTTTTCTAACTCAATATAATGTTAAACCATTTTAAGAAACACTGCGTATATTTGTGATATTTAGATTTACATATTTTACATTTATTTTATTTAATAAACTAATCTACCTTCACTTCACTAGCTACAAGAGTTCATAGAAAATCCAGGCACGCGAAGGATATAACCCCTTCCATAATTTGTACAATGTCTCGAGCTTATCGTACCATAATATTTCTGAACGAACTTTTTGGTACTTTAGATGATTTAGATTAGATTTAGTTTTAGGTTAAATTTATTAATATCCAATTGTAACCAATACCGCCTTTATTCGATACCATCGTGTGTTTTTAATAAATAGAGGTTTTCTTGTGCACGTCGTAATCAATATCTTAAGTACTTATAGTCTAAAAGCGCATCAATCTCTGAACACATCTATATTAATGTTTAAGATTCTTCTAGATGATTTTATTATACACAGCCGGCTCCCCAGCAGCCGCACCATGGTATTGAGCCATCATGTGGCGCAGCGGAGAGTTTTCTCGATTTGTGCGTACAGGCGGAACCCAGCGAGTTCATTGAGGAGCACACACTGTTCGTGCGCTCATGCTCAGAATGGGACGTCATCATCTCCTAAAAAAAAAACAAAGGACATTATTATTATAAAAGGTGACAAACGAGCAACACAGGTCCACTTGATGGTAAGTGGATGCTGTGGCCTATAGACATCTACATTTTTCATCGATTAAAAATGAAAAGGCAAATGCGTTGTCACTCCTGAGGACTAAGATGGAATGCCTCGTTTCCAGTAAAAGGCTTCTACGGTTCTCTGCACTCACCATACGAAACACGGGCAGCATTAAGCCGCTATAAAATAGTTTTGCAGGTATTCTGTGAGAGCGTGGTCTTACCCCGGCCTAACCGACCCATAATACCAACCATAAGCAATATAGCTGTAGCGTGGCTCGTTTCAATTTATATGCAATATATAAAAAATCCCTGTCCGATCCGTGAGGGTGCTATTAGGTTTCGTGATATGATTACTTGCATGCAATACATTTCTAATTCCAATTCAGACTATTCCATATTACACTGTGGGTGTCGTAAGAGACGACTGAGGGAAATCAAACACAAGATGGGCAGCAGCATCTTCTTGATAACAACACATTAATAATAAACTGTGATTGTCAACCGGCCTGCCAAGCGTGGCAGCTACGGCAACCATATAAAATAAGGCAATCTATCATCTATATATATGTACTACGTACTTGATTGCGATAGGACACAATTTTTGTTTGGAATGGCTTCTCTAGTAGGTACGTAGTACATATGACTCAATGAGTGGAGTTTTATAGGCTGTATGTAATGCATGGATGGATAATTCGTTGATAATATGTGTTAATTATTTTTTTGATAATGTTATTGACTTGCTCTTACTGACTAAGCACACTTATATGCTTCATTTGAATCTGATAGAGTGCTCTTTACATATTATGCATTTGTAGTCAAAGGGTAGAAATATTATTGTGTGTTCTTGAAAATGTAGTTTTAACTAGCAACGGAAAAACAAAATGGATTTAGCTTTTATGTTGCCAGTTAAAAGCGTTTGAAATGAAATAGTGTAAAAAATGTGTTTGACAGTTGCATCATATAATATATGAGTCACATTTTGTGATGCAAATAATACACTCCATATTGAAGAAAATGTCTTTTTTTAATGAAAGCAGGACTAAGCTTTAATAGAACAAAATATTTGCTTTTCGCATTTTAAATGATTGTGGTGTTATTTAAACGATAAAAATAGTTTATAACGAGGTTTTGATATGCTGGATTTGTGTATAAAAATGCCTTTTCCCCAATGTGCAGTTTGCGAACGTTTATCTTTGAGTCAATTACATGGAATACCTGATAGCTATCCCGCTTGTACCGCGGGCCAGAGCTAGACGAGGACAGAGTATTTCGCGGTCGGTGTCGGTTACAGTGCCTATGCTTTCCGATTTCTTGTATCTCCCCTTCAATCAGCCTTTCATTATCACTCTCCACTTGAACCGGCACTCCGTTTTTGGGTGCCCCATTTTTAACTTCCTTTTTCTTATCTCTTCTTTTCCTTTCCCTTTTTTTAAACGTTAAAGAAAATCTCTTTCGCTTCTTCGCTTTTGGCGACTCTGGCCGTTGGGGCGCCGTTGATTTTTCCCTTTCAGATCTACTGGTATCATCGTCAGGTGGAGGTGCGTGCGATTCAGAGTCGGTTTTGAGAGTGATTTCAGTTCTGATAGAAGAGTCAGGCTCGCCAGACTTGTACGCTACTTCTTTTTCTAAATTTGCCAGCTCCATTCGGCGTAATCTCTTTGGTAATTTGTTAACGGTGGCGTAAATTGGCTCTTCGTTTTCTCCAACGGGGGCCGAACGTGATCGAAAGAAGAAGTCAAACTTCTTCGGCTTCACCGGAATTCGTCTTTCTACAAAGACGACGGTGCTGGCCACTTCCGTTGTAGTCGTTAATTCCTCCCCAGATTTCGGACTTAAGCTGCTACGAACAGGCGTCGATCTTGGATAGTCGTAAGTCAATTCTATGTTCTTCTCTGTTACGTAGGATTTCGGCGGTTGTTCCTCAACAGGTTGTGTTGGTTCTGGTTTAGTAGTGGTCGTTTCTTTTTGGCAGCAGCATTGTCTTTGCAATATCTGCCTAGTGTTACACATGAAGACGGAGTTTTGCTGTATGTAGGTAGTGTGTATTGCAGGAGTTGCTTGTACGTCGCCTAGTAGCTCCTCTACGTTACCTCCCGTGTGGAATCGCGGTGGTTGGTGAGGAGCAACGACAAAACCGGGCGGAGGTGGCGCTATGACGTGACAAGGCGATGACGTCACCGACTGGTAAAATCTGGGCATTTCAGGCGCATCGTGAATTATTACGTCGACTGTGCGCTCGTGTCTGTCGCTCTTTAAACTATGTTGAGTTGTGACATTGTTTTGTCGCTCCATATTTTGCGTAGTTACAACTTCTTCGTTGTCATTTTGATTTTGTGACGGTTCCGGTGTTGCATCTTTCTGACATTCCTCACAAGTGCATGGAGATTCAACGCCGCTCTGAAATAAAAAAAATATATTTTCAAACAGTAATCAAAGTTATCTTATAAATACATCTTAGTTTGATTCTATACAATGCGTTTTTATACAATGCGTTATAAAGTGATAATCGTGTGCTGAATCATGAGCATGGAAGTAATTGTAAACAACGTGTGTTTAGATTTCTCAGAGTTCAATTTCATTAGCTAAAATGTAAGCACGTGCAGCTTCATTCATAAGATTTGCATACAAAATAATAAAAATATCTTTTATTTATTTGTGCTAGTTTAGTCAAATCTTGATAAATTTAAAATGATCTTCATAATATTACACTATTTAAAAATTACTGTCTTTAAATGAAGTCAAATTTGCTAAAAGTTTTATGATTAATATACTTTACTAACAATGACTTAGAAGGAGATGTAATATCCTAAAAGAAAAAAAAAACTGTTTTTTCATATATATGTACTGACACACTTCTCTCATTTCTTTCAGATTCATGTCTACGCAAATCAATAATTTGTTCGATAACCTTCGGTCTAGGGCGTCCCTTGCCGCCTTGTTGCTCTGCACCATAAAATTTGCTTTGTCTCTCTTTCCTTATTCATCCTTTTTACATGTTAAAACCACCAAATTATATCTTTTTTTATCTTGGTTACAAAATCGTCACGCAAGCCACACTTTTCTTTTACCACACAATTTTGCACCCTATCATCCGAGTCATCTCCAATATACCCAAGTACGTCTTAATGAAAGCGTTTCTATATCATTAATTTTACTGCTTTCTGCAACACCCAACTTTCACTATACGTTTGGGTACGGATTAACATAGCATTGTGAATTGTCTTACATGCGTTTTTTAATACATTCTGACTTCCCACAATAGAGTAAAGAGCCCAATATTCAATTTAAAATTGGCACATCATATAAATAATTGAATTAAATGTTAAATCACAGTCTCTTCGGGTTTTAGATGATGCTTACGGATATGAGTGTAAAATGAGTGCTTTTAGCCGATTGTAATTAACTACGATCATGACATTTTAACTTTGAAAGCGTCCGCCCAGCTGTCATTTTAAAATTTACGAGTTCACGTCATTCGCCAGTTTTGTCACGTACACATTGGTCGTAAACTTTTGTATTGACCTAATTAAAACTGTGGAAACACTAATTTCAGAGAGTAAAAAAGGAAAATGTTCAAAAAAATCAAGAATAAACCAAACCAAACTTTTACAAAATTTTGTTAAAAGTAACTTATAAATTTATTGGATTTTTGAAAATTGAAAATCTTTGATAATGGACAAGCAATAGTTATTACCTAAAGGTACTCTGTGTTACCTACTCCTACTGTATAGTATATTATCTATGACCTACTGTGCGTTATGAAAAATATTAAGACATAGAATTATAAATTAAACCAAATTTTTTAAGCATGCGGCTGAAAATTCAGGCAAAAGCTTACAAATATTCAGATCACCACGTAGCTAGTAAGTTTTGGTTAACATCTCATCGAACTATTATTTTACAAGTTGTTTAAAAAATACACTTTCTAATAAAAGTTTTAGGACAAAACATGCACAAAAACGCTCACGTATATCCCAGATATTATTTACAAAATTACACTTAAATTTATTTACAATAAATGCACTTAATGAAAGAGATAAACACCTTCAAACCCGCGGAAACGTGTTGAACGCATTTTTATAATCACTTTTCACAAGCTGCTCGTTCGTCAATCGTTTCAAACGCAACTGAGTATATTTTTAAACCTTTTACACTAGGCGTTACACATTATTTTCATGCACACTTCGTGGCCGCCCTTGACTTATTTTTTCCAGCCAAATAGAAATCGCTTGCTTGCTCCCACTTATATTCAAATTTTTGGCTGTTCGAAAGCACAGTTTTGTGAGAACTGTGGCTGAATTGCTCGTTAATGGTTATGCTATTTTTGTTTCGATGATCGTTGCCTTCTGGATCGTCGAGTTGTACACAATTGACACGTCAATTTGTTGAAAATTTCTTGGGTATAGTGTGCGTGTTTTTATTCTGTTGATATTTTCTTTCCTTGGATGTTAAAACGTGCAAAAATATAACGAGAGCACAATAATTAATGAACCCAAATGAAAACCAGCAAAGTACAGATAAATGTTTTGCTTAAATTACTCATATTTTCGTGACTCTCATACAATATATGAAAATCGGTCATTAAAAGTCGATAATGTAATGTAATTATTTCTTATATTATTCAACCGATATACGACAAAAGTTTGGTAAGTTGTTGTATGAACGCCCATGAATGGTTCTGGCAAAAAAACATTAGGTACAACGCATGTCGGGCACAGATTGTATATTGAATTATTTTAAAAGAATTTCAACAACATGTAATTACGTAAAACCTTTAAGAGCGGCGACGTCACTTTCTTTAGGCACAATTTATTTCGACCTTCGCCTAGTGAGAATTTATTTATCTACGGCATGGAGTGAAAATTATTAAATCAAAATAAAATTCCCGTGGCTAAACTAATGCTTGTAATTAATTGCGAAAACACGCTATTTGCGTGTTTGTCGTACGCAAAAAGTCGCATTTGCTGCATAGAGGCCGGCACCACCTTGTGTTTGCACCCCTCTGTATGTTCGTTTTTCCTAGTGTCCGCAATGATGTATTTTTTTATAGAATAAGTGTGACTAACGAACACAGTCCACCTGATGATAAGTAGATGCCATAATTCTATAAATTTCCATTGTCTTTTGGGTCATGACCCATAGACATCTACATTTTTCCTCGATTAAAAATAAAACGCATATTCGTTGTCATCCCTGAGGACAACGAATACCTCGTTTTCATTAAAAAAGTTGTCCAGTTCTCTACACTCACCATATGAAATACAGCAGCCGAAGCTGCTATTTTACGCTGTTATTTTGTGAGAGCGTGGTCCTTACCCGGTCGAGCCATTCGTGCTACAACCGTAAAAAGAGCTGTGCAGTACGCAGCAACTACGTATTTTTTTAAATTTAAATCCACACTTATATTATATAATATTATGTGAAATATTGAAAAAAAAAATCTTCGGACATTTGTTACTTAATCGTTAACGTTAAACAGTTCTTGTTTGAAATATGGCTTATAGATAGACCATTGGTCAGGATTAACGTGTATTGTTAAAATAGCAGTAAGAATCGGTTTATATTCCAACTATCCATCCATTACAGCCTATAAAAGTCCACTGTTGAACATCGGCCTCCCACATAGATTTCCTCATAGGGGGGATTTTGCCATCATTGACACGTTAGGCGAGGGGGTTGTCAATTGCAGTTTGTTATTATTTTGAGTTGCGATGCTGCTGCCCATCTCCTGTTTCAATTTCCCTCTGTCGCCTCTAACGACACCCACGGGACGATATGGAGTAGTGGATATTCTTACACGGCCATTACACGGCATATTACATATTAATTTTATCAAAATAGTTTAATGCTTAGTAAGTAAATATTTTGTTATAGGTGACAAACGAGCACACAGTCCACCTGATGGTAAGTGGTTGCTGTGGCCCATAGATATCTACAACTATCCTCGATAAATAACGAAAATGCAGATGCGTTGTCACCCGTGAGGATTAAGATTACCTCTTTTCCAATAAAAAGGTAAAAAGGTATTCGGTTGTCTACACGCACCATACGAAACACAGCAGCATTAAGCTGCTATTTTACGCTGGTATTCTGTGAGAGCGTGGTCCTTTTTTGTAGCACGAATGGGTCGAGTCGACCCATTCGTGCTACAAATATACTAATAATATAGCTGCAGCATGGCTCTACCACGTATATTTTTAATAATCTTTAGTATCTTCGTGTGGGTTTCAAAATAGTATGGTTTCTTTTCTTCTTGTAAGGTGAAGTTACGCTGCAACCACACCGCATACCTCAATTAGGGGTAGGTATGAAAGAAATAGAATTCAATACCTTATTATATTCCGTGGGTGTCTTAAGAGACGTTTATGGGAAATGCAAGAAAACATTTAGTTACTAGTACCATAAAAAAAACCGAGTTGGCAACTTCCAGTCGCGTGACATGAGTACGGTCATTTAGTAGCTAGTTTTTTTCTAGCTCTGGGTTATGGAACAACATCATGATCATAGTCATAATTACATCCTATCACAAGGACTACCATAAAATACGGTCCTGGATAGAATGGAACAATTACTCGATTTAAAAAAATATTAATAAGTTCAACAATCATTTATCTTTCTAACAATGTGTCCTTTATATCATTTATATGTATTTTATTGCTAGATACGATTTCATGCGTCAAAACGTTGTAATCCTAATTTTTAGGCCCTAACATACCTGTGCGCGTTGCGCTTACGGCATGCAATAAATGCAGATGGATATCATTACAAACTCAAGTCTATCACGCAAAGAATCTTCAAACATAGCCCTCTCTATAAGTCACTGAGTGACCTTGATCTTCCTCATACTGGCAGATTTTTATATCATCGCATTTCTGACAAACACGCACTGGTTGTACACTCTTGTTTCCAAGTTTTTAGGTATATGTGACGGGAAGATGTTGTGGTGTAATCTCCCAAAAGCCGCTCAGTCGAGTTAATTTACCGTCAATTTATCTTTCAGTCGAAGTTACCGTACCTAGTCAAACAATTAGTCCTAGGTAAACATACATGTCAACAATTTCAAGCAGAATTGGAAACACAGGAAACATATTTTAATTATATTATGCCATTATTACCTTGTTCCCCTCTTCGCCCTCCTCAGGCACCACACTCAGGTCGTGGAAGGCGACAGCGCGGACAGATCCGTCCACACTGGTGCACTCCGGGCACACGCTGCACACCGACACGCTGTCCTGCCAAGCGATAATGTGCTTTATTCACAAAACACTAAAATGAAATGTTTTGTAATACATGAAACCTATCAGAGCTACAAAAGTTGCGCTTGGCATCATTGCACGGCACCTGTCTTCTCTATTATTTCTATTACTAATCATTTTGAAACGTGATAGAGCCACGCTGCAGTCTTCATCTATACTGGGTTATTTTTCTAAGAGTAATTAAATTTTAAACTTAAGTTCAAATATATAATTAATTATATACCGTTATTAAAGTTAAGAAAATACGAGTAAATGAGGCTTCTACTTTTATTTGAATTTGTCGCAAATTGAATGTGATATATAGGCACAACCGTTTTTGCCTACCGTTCGACCCTTACGACTGTGTGCGTCAAAATCAGTTAAAATAATGCATTACCATGCGTTTTGAATTAAAAGATAAAAAATGCAGAATGTTTGTGATTTTTTTGAATAATATTTCTTCATTATTTGCCTCTAATACTTGTTCTGAACCTTCTCTGCAAATTTGCCCGGTTATAGCAAAATAACCATGTATTATGGTTGCAACACGAATGGGTCGGATTGGCCGGCGTAGAATTACGCTCTCACAGATTACCAGTTTAAAATAGAAGCTTAATGCTGCCGGGAGAACCGGATACCCTTTTTACCTGTAATGAGGCATTCTATCTTGGTCCTCATGGATGATAGCACATCTATATTTTGATTCTTAATCGAAGATAGATGTCTATGAGCTACAGCAACCACTTACCATCAGGAAGACCGAGGTGTTCGTTTGCCTTCCTTATTATACAAAATATAATAATAATATAGCGCCATCTCAGTACGAGGTTATTTTGTATTTAAGTTATCTTTGAATCTTTTTTCTTTAATCTAGAATTACGGGGCTACAGGGAAGGAATAAAGGATTTTTTCAATGTGGAAATCCGTACAGGCTAAGAAGTTGAGCTTTTTTTGTTGTATAGTAAGTTGAATTAGTCCTTGACAGAATCAGAATTATTAAAAGCATTAAAAAATTTAAAAAGGAAGTTAATACATATTTAACGAAAAAATGTTATTACTCGTTGCAGGAGTTTTTTAGTGATTGAGTAGGAAATAGGAAATTGAAATAAATAAATAATATTATATGATCCCATTCATATTTAAGTTGATTGTAAATATTCATTAAATGATAATTTTATTAATAATACTATATGTTATGCTATATGTGAATGTAATAATAATATTAATAATTGCTTATATTTGCAGTGCCCTTGCAGGGTTCTTGTTTTGAACATTTTTTTTTAAATATAAGACCAAATGTACAATAACAATAGCAAATAAAATGAATTGAATTAAAACGTAATGGTTATATACTCTTCGTCCTTGACTTCAAAATGCTATTACCTATTACCAGTCTACCGAACATTATTAAAATTTTAGCCGATGTTTATTTTAAACACTAAAAGTAGGAATAATTTTGTATAATTAAAATAAAATAAATATTTCTCATCTTATCGTTCAAGCAAAGATTCAAAAGCTATATTTAAAACTAGTCATTATAATAACTATTTAATCACGTATTTAATATCTTTTTCATGTAATTTTTGGGTTTGTATTCAAAGTGTTTGGCATTGGACATACGTTTAAAGTACTTTTGAGACATTGGCACTTGGCAGTATGAACCGCAATAAACGACATAATTTGTTCAAACGACAATTATTATGTGTTTGACATTGGCAGTATGAACGTAAACAATATAACATGTTTTATTTAATTTTAACATATATTCAGTGACGTATTCAGGTTCAAAGCCGCCCTGGGCTATTTAAATTGGCCCTATAACCCTATTGGCCTTAGCTATCGCAATTATACTTATACCTATATATATATATAATTAAATAATCAAAAAATATCAATACACGTTGAATTTAGTTAAATAAACATTTACTGCTGAGTTTACATATTTTTAAGTTATAATTATAAATATAATTTAGTTTAAAATATTATTTCGTTTCATAATATATCAATTTAACGATATATTTTATAACGTTATTTTTACAATAAAAATTGTTAAAAAAAATTAACTGCTCAATTTTTGAAGTTATATTTGAGTGATTTTTTTTACGATGCGCGCACACCGACAGCTAAAAACGACATTATGAAGTTGTTACGATGCGCGTGCACACTGACACCTCAAAGCGACAATTTCATTGGGTAACTGTCTCTCAAGTTTTCGTGGAAACTGATAACTATATTTAAAGTAGTTATTTTTGTTTTGTTACGCTAAAGAAGTATAACTACCTACGTGCGTGCATTAGTACACACACACACACACACGTTTTTTTTTACATTTTTGCCGCCCCCAAAATTTTGCCGTCCTGTGCTATAATAACCCAATTAGACATTTTAACTATGTTGGCATAGTCTTACACTCACATAATCTCACATTCCTCATAAAGTGTCTACTGTTTTCTCTTCACGAATTAATATATAGATATCTACTAGTTTACGATACAAATCAACTAGGCATATAAAAACTTTTTGATTATTGTAAGAGTGACGTGAAAAACAATTAAAACCCAAGCAACTATGCACCAATGTCAATGTTAATGACATTTTGAAAGCTTGTATCTCAACATTTTTTGAAAAACTTTTATCTTCATTTTCAATGAATTTTTTGGAACTACCACTTGAAATATGTGGACTTATTATTGAATATTTGGATGTAATATCAAAAATAAATTTTTACAATGCTTCTAAAAGTTTAAGGCCCTTTTTTACGCCATGTCACGTGAAGGGTCTAAATTTATCGAGAAGTCGTATCGCAACTGTAAAAACTTTGCAAGAAGAACTTTGTTTACATTGGATCCACTTTATTCAAGATCTAAATTTAAGCGGTGTACAAGATTTAACAAGTGATTGTTTAAAATTGTATATTCACAGATTGTCAAGTTTAAAAACTTTGGATGTAACATTTACGAGTATTTTTTTATCAGATATAACAGAGATCTGTCCAAGTACTTTAAAGAATATAAGTATAAACTTCTTTAAGAATACGCGCAAGTGTAAAGAAGACGGAAAATGGGAAACTTGCGAAAATTTATTCAAAGAGAAGGAATTTGCTAGCATCCATTTTATTGTGTTTGAATTACATGATAGAGAATGTCCATTAAAGTTTTTGAAAAATGTTCCAAATATTAGAGAATTAAAAATAACGATCGCTGATAATTACGAAGATTGCACTGATATACTGAATGATACCGAAGTTGATGATGAAATGATTGATATAAACTTTGCTAAATTGTCCTATTTTATACGAGACTGCCGCGTCACACACAAGACTTCACATTATTTAAAAGGAATTAGGAATTTAGATTTCGCACAAATTGAATACATATTTATAATGTACTTAGAAAGAATACAAGTATACGTTTCACCAGTCTTCATGACCTTGTTTCATGATACTTGCAGTGATTTACACGTGAAAGTGTGTCCAGTCTTACCACAAGATTTTATGTTGGACTTAAATATCGTCTTCAAAGCTTGGAATAAAACAGTTACTAATTTTAACCATGAGTTTTTTGCAGGTCTACTTAGGGATCTGAAAGATTACTTCCCCACGTATATTTGTATGTCTGGAAAAGTTAATATGAGGGTAATGAACGTTGCAAACGATTGGTATTGCATTGATTCCTGTAATGATTTCGAGCAAAATTTAGAATTTTTACCAAGTAAACTAACCTTAACGGATTTTTGTCGAAAAAGTGGATCAGTATTAAGGCGCAGTAGACCGATTAGCTTGTTGCCCGGATTAGTATCATTATCGAAACTTAATTTTTTGCGACTGAGTAATGTTTGGATCAAGGACAACTTCTTTTCTACACTATTCTCCGAGTGCCCTCAGCTTCAAACATTAGATATTTATGTAGAAAGACGTGGCAAATTGAGTACTTTTCGATCGTACACAAATTCACTAGCAAGGAGTGTGCATGTTGCCAAAAGTTTGAAAAATATAAAACTGACATCAGAAGATATAGACTATGCAGAATTGTTTGGAATATTATGCAATTTTCATAATTTAGAAAACATTCATATATGTGAATACGAGAGAAATGTTAATGATATTGTAGCTTCAGATAATATAGTTATTTTTATCAAAAACTGTATCAATTTATACAGTTTATTTATCGAAGCTGACTTGCCATCAGAAGAATTAACTATTTTAATAGCACCCTTAAGAGAAACTGCACAAAAATTGGATCGCCATTACCTTTGTATAGAAGTATGTGATTGTTATCGCGGATGGAATCCTTTTGTGGACGTGTTTAATCCCAGTCCTTTACATATATTAGACTAATTTTTGTTATTAACGTTTAGAAATAATGGACGTATATTTGGTAAAATAATTTTATATATTTTTATGAAGATGTTAATGAAATCACTATTCTAATACAGATCATTTTGTTTACAAAATATTTTTGCTTTGATTAAACACATGAACAAAATAATAGTGATAACTTAAACTTAAATACCCCTGTTTCGATTAAAGTTATCAGTATCTTTCTGATAGTTTGCCTGTTAAAAATGATGCCTATCCTGCCATTCCAGTTTATAAATCTTGGAAATGCAGATTTGTTGTGACCGTCAAGATGGCGGGATACTTTCTTATAAACATCGCTTTACAAGTATATATAGTTCTTAATTGGTACCACTTGATAGCAATATTCAAATAATGGATATCTTTAACACATTTTGAACTGTTATTTCTCAAAAATTTTAATAAATAGTATTATAATTTTACATAATATTTAAAACTTCATTGTTCCAAATATGTAAATATGAACTTCTAAGTTCGTATTTACATATTTGAATATGTAAATATGAACTTCTAAGTTCATATTTACATATTTGGAATCCTTTGTAGTTTCAGAGATAAATTATTACAAAAGAATGACATAAGGAACATTTAAGACTTCCGGAGAGGCAGACTATAATCCGATCTGATCATTAATAGTGATGTGGCCCTAGATTGTAACCAGGATTGACTATAACTTCAGATTAAATAAAGACGGCGCACGATCTCGTGGCAGCCCTTGATACTGATGCCATGGGTATTACCCGGGTCGCCAAAACCTAGTCGTCGCCTAGTTAGTGTGAGGTAGTAAGACATTCCTCGTTTAATACTTTAATTAATATTAATAGCTGCCGTCAGTTCCTTTACCACTGCCGAATAATGAATAAGTAATATCTCACATTTTTAAAGATTTGATGTTATTTGAATACATGCTGGATAGTCGACATCAGTTACCCCAATGGCAAAAGAAGTAGAGGATAAGCGATACATGCTTCTTTACTCTCGTACAATATTCGAAGGGTAATATGGACAAACATTTCATTATGAACATTCCATATAAGTCTTAACTTTAATCTACTTAATCTATCATAAAAGTGGGAATCGCTTAAAATGTTTGGGGCCTTTGAGTCTCATGATTATGTAAGACTTACAGCATGTCGTAAAGGGCGACTACTTGTGATTGTGTATGCGGTTAGCCTATATTTTCTGGCTTAACTTGGTCTAAATGGCTCGCTGCTTTTTGGACTTTGTCTACCCCCTCGAAGATTACAGGCGTGAAGCTATGTAACTGATAACGCTTTTAAGCGTTACATATTTCTAAGAAAGTACTCGATAGCATGCATTGCTTAAAAAGCATATCCATCCATTACAGCACTGCTGATTTAGCCATAGTTGCCCCGGTTAGCAGGCGGGTGGCAACCGCAGTTTTCTATTATTTTTAGTCGTTATCAGGAAGATGCTGCTGTCCATCTCCTGTTACAGTTTCCCTCTGGCGCCTTTTACGACACCCACGAAACGATATGGGGTAGTGGGTATTCTTACACGAATACTACACGGTTGTAAAAAAGTAAAAAGTTTGGAATAGCTCGTAGCGTCGTTGGATGACTAAAAAGCTTATAACTATATTTAATAACAACTTGTCCGTACGTCCGAGTGTTCGGGTGACGATCGTCTCTCGCGTAGCATGCTGTCGAGACGGTCGTACTCATAGCGTAGTGCTAATATCTCACGTTTCAGCTGCTCATTTTCTCGCTTCAATTTCTTAATATCCGATTGACCTGTGTACAAACAATAAAAAAATTATTGGTATTAATGACCATATTCTTAAGATAATTAATAGATTAGATTATTAATTTTAATACTTTAACAAAACATTTTGTATTTACTGGTTTAAATATTATTTTAAGTTTGAATAAGGTAAGTCAACACAATACGTAAGGGGTTTCGTAAGGGGAAATGGCATCAGCATCTTCCCGATAACAATAATAATTCAATATATATTATTAAGAAGGACTCTAAAACTGTTGGTCAGACCTTGAGCATATTATGAGAAGCACCCAAATCGTTGCTTCGCACACATAAAAACATACAGTCGAATTGAGTACCTCCTCCTTTTTGAAGTCGGTAGAAAATAGTTTGCTAACACGCCTCCAACAGCGTGGCAATTATGGTAAATATTGCCCATATCCGATATGAGAAAATTTATTAAGAGCTTTGTTGGATGCTGTGGTTCATAGACATCTACATTTATCCTCGATTAAGTATCAAAATGTAGATGTAGATGGTAAGTGGCTTTTGCAGCTTACGGATACTATAATGCAGTGTTCCATAGACATCTACAATTATCCTCGATAAAGGATCAAAATGCAGATGCGTTGTCACCCCTGAGGACTAAGATGGCACGACTCCTTTCCAGTAAAAAGAGTCTCCGGTTTTTACAATCACCATACGAAACATTAGCATTAAACTGATATTTTACGCTGGTATTCTATGACAGCGTGGTCCTTCCCCAGTCGAGTTGATGGAGGGTTATAAAGTTTTATATTTATTTAAATATATCCAAAGTCTAACTCAAATAATAGAAAAAGATTTATCATAAAACTAGCTGTTCCCCGCGACTTCGCCCGCGTGGAGTTATTTGTCAAATATTAACATGAATATTTATACGATACTAAAGTCACTCAATTGCTTTGCCTTCCTGGAACCCCTCCACTAACACTTAAACTTTATGGTATGGTAATAAAGTTCGAATTGACTTTTAAGTTTCTCTTTTCTTATAATTATATTCGTAATATTTTGTATGGGAATATAGAAAAGTGTTGTTTTTAGACTTTTTCGGGCAATTTTTTAAAATTTTCTCTCCGTAAGAACCATCTTCATATTTCAAGGAATATTATAAAAACAGAATTAGCGAAATCGTTTCAGCTGCTCTCGAGATTTGCACTTGGCAACACATTCAGTGATTCATTTTTATATTATAGATGTCGAGGAGTGTACAGAACATTGGAGGGAAAGATTTTCTTTGGACCTTAAGAAAAAATGATGACGGGAGCCGAGTAATTTAAAACGTTCTTTTATATAGAGAGGAGTTGATATATTAAATAAGACGCAGTAGAGCGCAGTAAGTATATAAGTATTCCGACGAAGACGGATTGGGAGCCACTTGAGTTTAGTACAGTATTCCGAGACCTGTTCTTATTTATGAAGCCTAAATATGAACCGTATACCGTAATAAAACCGTATAGAGATCCAGAAGCCGCTTAGTTTGTTAAGTTGCTTTTATGTGATATCAAGGTAACAAATGTCAGCACAGTCGAGGAGAGGGAGTAAGAAAGATTGTGCAAGCATTGGTGGATATGGGTAAAAAAAAACAAACAAAAAAGCAAACCTAGCCTAGTGTGTATATATAACAATTAATAATAATAACAATTATAACTTTAACAATTATAAATTATAATAACAATTAATATAATAATAGTAACAATAATAATAACAATGTCAGTCAGCGCCTTGCCAAGAGGTGTGAGCGCCGTGCCTCGGCAGAATTGAGAGTGCAAAGGCCCGTTTGTGCTTACGGCCGCACCATGAAACGGTGCCGGGCCTGGTACAAGGTTGACTGTACAGTTAGAGATTTCCTCGGGTAGTGTATGGGGCAGTGGAATACGATCCTTTGTCATCTAGGCGAGCGGATGACGCCTGCGGAGAACCAAATAAGGATAAGAAGGGGTATCTTCCAGGGCGATTGTCTGAGTCCAATCTGGTTCTGCCTCTCTCTGAACCCTCTCAGTACCTTACTGGGGGGTTCCGGGAGGGGATTTCAGCTTTGGAAAGGAGGTACAAAAGTGACCCACCTTTTCATATGGTTGATCTCAATTTATTCGCCTCCAGTCGCACCCATCTTATGGAATTGCTAAACATCACTTGTTATTTTAGCAATTCCATTAGAATGGAGCTGGGGACGGATAAGTGTGCGGTCCTCCATGTCGAAAGGGGTAGGGTTGGTAACTCTGAGGGCATAGACTTATCTATGCCCATTAACATAAATACCCTATCCGAGGCTGAAACAAAAAAAAAACATACCTGGGTTTGTCACAGAACATAAGTATGAGGCGGACATGAAACAGTCAGTTTGCGATGTGTTTTATGCACGCTTGACAAAAGTGCTCAACAGTCTTTTGTCGGGCGTGAATAAGACACACGCATATAACGGTTGGGTCATGCCTGTCCTCATATATACCTTTGGCATACTCAGGTGGTTTCAGACCGAACTGAACGCTCTGGATAGAAAAGTCCGCACTGTTATGACGTCTCACAGGATGCATCACCCGAGATCGTCAGTAATGAGGCTGTACTTGCCGCGGAAACATGGTGGGCGCGGCTTTTTGAGCGCTCTCACCATGCATAATCGCGAAGTGTGCAGCCTACGTAATTACTTTCTGGCGAGATCGGATGATCCATTCTACAGGGACGTCATTTCGTGTGATAAAGGGCTTACTCTTCTATCGTTAGCCAGCGAGCAATGGCAAGACCCAGAAGTACAGTGCATTTCCGACCGGGAGACCGTATGGAAGGAGAAGGAGCTCCACGGTAGGTTCTACAAGGCTCTACATAAGCCTTTCGTAGATACAGTCGCCTCCTTCCACTGGCTACGTTTCGGTGACCTTTTGGGGAAACAGAGGGTTTTGTCTGTGCGATACAGGACCAGGTTATTAAGACCAACAATTATCGGAAATACATCCTAAAGGATGGCGCCGTCGACATCTGTCGAGCTTGTCGCCATCCCGGTGAGTCACCTAGGCATGTCATCTCCGGTTGTTCGGCGCTTTCTAACTATGAGTATTTGCACAGACACAACCTATTAGCCAGGATTCTACACCAGGAGCTCGCTCTGAAATGCAGTCTCGTGGATCGGAAACTGCCATATTATAAGTACTTGCCGGAAGCCGTGCTCGAAAATGACCGCGTCAGGCTCTAATGGGACCGGGCCATCATCACAGACAGGACATTTCTTGCGAATAAGCCTGATATTGTGTTGATGGATCGGGCACAGTCAAGGTTATTTTTGGTCGACATTACCATTCCTTATGACGAAAACCTCGTGAAAGCCGAAGCAAATAAGGTGACAATATATCTAGACCTGGCTCTCGAGGTGACCGACATGTGGGGTGGTCTGCCGGCCGAAATTATTCCTGTGGTCGTTTCTGCGAACGGGTTAATCCCAGTCAGCCTCTCGGGTCATCTGAGGCGACTGGGACTCCGTGACGGACCGCTCCAAGTTCAAATGCAGAAGGCGGTGCTCCTCGATACCGCCCGCATCGACCGCCGGTTTCTTTCCATTTCCCCCTAACCCTCGGCCGTTTGGTCTCCCCTGCCGGGGGCTTCCGTCTGGTTGGGTTTTTATATATTTAGGTATTTTTATGTATTTATTTTATTTTATTTTATTGATATATGCATGTTTACCATTTTAATTTACAATTATATATTTATACTGGCCAACCAGATGAGAAAACTTTATAGATACCCCATAACAATGTAATTTATGATAACAATTAATAATAATAACAATTAATAGGTACTTTCATAATAACTAAGTACATGGTATTTAAATTCATTACATTTTAGGTTCGTAGTCCAAGTGTTTGGCATTGGCTTTAGAGTAGTAACCAACATAATACGATTATGTTTTCAACAGTGGTAGAGCCACGTGGCGGCTTTTGCTGTCGCACGGATGGGCCGGCTCGAACCGGGGTGGTACCATGACCTCACAGAATACCAGCGTGAAGTAGAGGTTTACCTCTGCGGTCGTTTGGTGAGTGCAGGTGGCCAGAGGCCCTTTTTACTGGAAATGAGGCATTCCATCTTAGTCCTCACGGGTGACAACGCATCTGCATTTTGATTTGTAATAGAGGATAGATGTAGTTGTCTATGGGCCGCAGCAACCACTTACCATCAGGTGGACTGTTTGCTCGTCTGTCACAATTATCCTATAAAAAAAATGTGTTTGACACGCACTCGTTCTCCTTAAATAAACTTTAACTACCTACGCCAATCTCCTACTCCTCCGTGCGCACAATATGCTTCGGGGTTATTAGGGGCTAAAAGGTGTATAAAGTTTTCCATTTACGTATTAATATATAGATTCGTGAAATACACTTTCCTCGTGATAAAACTTTAGTAGGCATATGGTCGTTTACATTTTGTAACCATTTTTATATATAAATAAAATATAAATGCCACTTACCTCTTTCGACCTCTGCATTTATATTAATTGTGCGTAATCTTAGCTCCTCGTTCTCGTAGAGCATGCCCCGGGAGGACTTTCGGTCCAATCTGTGCGATAATCAGATTTTAAAAATTAATATGTGGTATGTAAGGATTTTTTTTATTCACGCGAATACTGCAACAATTTATGAATAAAAAAAATAAGTTAATCGTAAAAATGAGGCATTTGACGTCGTGGTGGCATAGTTAACGAAGCCTACCTTTAATTTTTAATTAAAAACAATAAATAAAAATACATTTATTTTTCAATAATTAAGTAACTTACTTCAACAACAACAGCGCGAAAGTTAATATTAAAAGGTGTCGAGGTAGACCGAGACTAACTTTCGAAGACCATGTGAGCAAATTGCTCGAAGAGGGTAGGGTCAAGAGTACTCGGATACCTAGACGTGCATGCATGAAGAAGATAATGAATCTGAAAGAAGCGAAAGAGGTTTGTAAGGATCGTGACACTTGGCGATCTATTCTCTCTGGCTACCCCGTCAGGGATTGTGCGTGGAGATAAAACAGTAATTTAAAGAACGTTAAAAATTCTTTAAGATCACAACAACGTTGTAAACAGTTGTACATTCCCATGACATCCGTTCAGATCTTAATTCTATTATCGACGAAGCCTACAGTCTCGAACAAAGTTTTTACCAAATTTGGCCCCCTATTCACATCAAAGTTTTCTGTGAGAAATCATTGTTTTTGAAGTTTTATTTTTTATTATATATTAATGTAAATAAATACCTTCAAGGTTTATTTTTCATTTACGATTTCCTATTATTTTAATTTTAATTAAAAAATATAAAGGCCGGCAACGCATCTGCAATTCCCCTGGTGTTGCGGTTGTTCATGGGCTGCGGTAGTCACTTACCATCAGGTGAGCCGCATGCTCGTTTGCACCCTTTCTATAAAAAAAAAATGAAACGCTGAAAAGTTTTTGATGTGGTTAGTTTACTAACTAAATTTGTCAACACCGAATGTCGACGTCAATGTTCTTTTAATTTTTTTTTATAGAATATGGTAACAAACGAGTACACAGTCCACCTAAAGGTACGAACACGTGTATGTTCTGGCCCATAGATTGTTAGCTCCAAAATATTTTTTGTCTCTGCACGTCACAATATTTACTCATAATACCGGTTCCAGAAGCAAAGAAGCAAAGAAACCTCCAACCCATCAAGAAACTTTATGTCTTTTGCAGTTTCAGAAATTTTAAATTTTAATATTAACTTTATATTGAATAGAATTATAATACTAAATATTTGGGTTTTTGAAAAATGCTAGGTCTGAAGACCAATTTTAGCGAGTAGGAGAGTAGAAGTGAGGTATTTTTGCCAAAACACTAACACAAGCGGATCGTACTTCCACTGTACGAAACAATACTCTTAATTGTACGCCAATTAAAGATTAAGACAAAATCGTAATTATAAAACTATCACTCCACGCTCTCACGTCAGTGGGGTAGGTAGAGACTACGGATTTACATTTGGAACGATCCTGACACACTTCTCTCGCTTCGTTCACGTTAATACGTACGCTTTCATGTTCGTCGAGTGGTCGTCAGACGCAAATATAACAAAAAAGAACAAATATAGAGTTTAAAACAAAAGCTGTCTTATTGCTGTATTATAGCTATTCTTTCCAAAAGCAAACCCAAAAAATAATTATATAAAAGTGGAGAAAGATTAACGGGTAGAAATGTACTGTAGAATAATAAAATTTGATCTGCTCAAAGTTCAAAAACTTTATTAAACTAAGTTTGTATAAAAAGGGTTATCGATGAAGGTAAGGTTTAGGGAATTTATGGATGATAATAACCCCTGGGAATGAGGTGATCGCTACCAAGCTATAGGTATCTTATTTCTTTTGTGTTGCTAATTGTGTAAAATACATGAGTGTAAGCTGTTATTTTTTTTTAATAAAACAAAGAAAATAACAGTATTGTTGGTTCTTCCCAGGACAGAGGTTTTTTTCCGAACTAGTGGTAAATTAAAAGAGTGACTTTCTATAAGTATTATTTATAATCTACTTATATTAAATAAAAAGTTTCTGTTTAGGTTTCAATACTATGTTATCAAATTATGCACTAAAAGAAGAAAGGAGAAAGACGGAGAAGTTAGAGAGACAAATAATGTTCATTGCGCAATCAATAATAGAGCCAAGGAGTTCGAAATGTTGATTCCACGAACAGTGGAAGATTTAAGGGAACATTTAAGGGAAACCTTTCCCTTAAATGTTTTAGTTGAGAAGTTAATAATTTATTTTGTTTATAAATTTATATCTATTACGTTTAGAACAATATTCCAACACTATTTATCAATGTTGCAGAGGGTGTTGTTTCTGTTCTTAGGCTCATTCCTGAAGCAACACCCATGGATGACAACCCTACCCCCAAGTACGTACGTAAACATGTGAGTAGGAAGTTCGCGGACACATTCGTGCATACCCACGTTAATGATTGAATATTATGTAATTGTGTAAAGATTGAAATTCTTTAACAAAATGAAATAATAATATTGTCATTAACACCTTAAATATAAAAGTATGGTTTTTCCTTTTTTAGATATTTTGATTTATGTTTTAGAATATTATTAATAAATATTATAAATAAATTAAAATTTGAATTAAAATTCTGCTTTAATAATAGCAACAATATACACACTTCCGGTTCGGCTTGACGTTGACATCCTTTCGACGCGTGCGCAACATGCTGGCTCCCGTCATGCCCGACATGATGCTGCGCTGTCGCCATGCGTCGAACAACAACTGGAACAAAGATTATAAATAAACATAAGTATTTTTATTTATAAAACTGAAGTGACAAAGTTACGGTCCACCAGATGGTAAGTGGATACTGCAGTCCATGTACACCTGCGGCCAATTTCAAACTAATAAGGCTACAGATGCGTTGTCATTCCCGAAGAGTAAGATGGAACGCTTCACAGTCCGTAATTAAGTATAATTACCGGTGGGCCAAATATTGGCCTGTCTATACAGTAGGATCTCTATGTTCTTCAGACCGAAACAGCAGCGCAAGCACCGCTATTGGGCGGCAGAAGTTAGTAAGATGGTGGTATCTACCCAGGAGGATTCCTAAGAAGAAAAGAAATAACCTAGCAAATAAAACAAATATATAATCAAAGCAAAAAAAAAAAACGTGTGTGTGTGTGTGTACTTATGTACGCACGTAGGAAGATATACTTCTTTAGCGTAACCAAACAAAAATAATTAAAAATAACCACCTTAAATGCAGTTATCAGTTTTCACGAAAACTTGAGAAACAGTAACCCATTGAAGTTGTCGCTTTGAGGTGTCAGTGTGCGCGCGCATCGTAACAACTTCATGGTGTCGTTTTTAGGTGTCGATGTGCGCACGCATCGTAAAAAATTCACTCTCATTATTTTTCCCAAAAGCCCCAAAAGAAGTATAACACAAGTTTAAAAAAATATAATACTAATAAAACATTCGATGATATAGAAATATGAACATTCAAATAAGCAATATTAAAAAGTAATCGGTTTAAAAATCAATTCATCATAAAATAATTATTATATTATTTGCTAAGAATTCCATGGAATAGTAAAGAGCTTCTCCTAAATCGTATACCTTGAGAACTACTAAACTTGCGATTTAAAAAATACCTATATATCGTTTATAGTAATTACCATATGAAAGGTATTAATGAGAACCCTTAGATCATATAATGTTTAAATTCTAGGACAAATTTGAGAGAGGTCTCTAATATTTAGGTAAACCATTTACTACTACATTATTAATTTATTTATTACACGCAATTATATATGTTTCAAAATGTGATTTGATATAAATTTGTCACTGTTTATTTATTCCAATTTTTTTCAAATTCAAGTAATAAATAATATATATGTATATAATTGGTAGAACTATAAAAGTTAACTTGATGACTCATAATTTAGATGAATTGCTTAAGACGCCACAATTTTATTACAAGCTAAGGGAGAGACTATGCTCATATCACACATTCCCATTATACTAATCAACCTACCGTTTAATTTTAAATTCCCGTTAAAAATATTTTCATTGACAACAAATCCTGTGGTCACAAGTCCTATAAGATCCGCTCTACGGAGCTTGGTTATGTGTCTCTTGGGCTCAAACTCGTTTCCGCTGAGTGAAATCATTTAAAACCACACCAGAATTTTTTTATATACAATTATAATTTAATATTATATAAGTTACTGTTCCTTATGTTCGGCTCTGTAGCTCTTTTTTAGGAATAAATATTTTTTTTAATAAAAAGCAAAACTTTAAAATTATATGTAGTCTCAAGAAGTCTAATGTAGTCGTTCCGTAACTTAATTAAAAATAGAAATAATTTCAGTAGTAAAAAAAATTGTTGGCTTTTAATTAAACGTGATTGGAGCCGCGCGTGAAAGCTAGTAAATGATTTAAATGTACGTTGTACGCATAGCATAAATAGACCCCTCACGTTGTGGAGAGGCTTCACCTTAATCGTCACGCTCGTAAGGTGTTAGGATTTACGATCGCAGAACCAGACGTCTCGCACTATTGACGCTGCCCGTCACCGGTCTACATATTTTAGGTTTAGCATAGCGCCCGCTTTACGTAGTAGAGCCATGCTGCAGCTATATTATTTGTATAGTTGTAGCACGAATAGGTCGGCTCGACCGGGGAAGGACCACGCTCTCATAAAATACCAGCGTAAAATAGCAGCGTAACGCTGCTGTGTTTCGTATGGTGAGTGTAGAGAACCGGAGATCCTTTTTAGTGGAAACGAGGCATTACATCTTAGTCCTCACGGGTGACAACGCATCTGCATTTTGATTCGTAATAACATATAAATTAAAATTATAAATTCGCAAACGAAGATACCATCAGGTGGTATGTGTGCTCGTTAGTTACCCTTATCCTATGAATAAAAAACGTATCTAATCTTCGAGAGTGTAGGCTGAGTTTAAAGAGCAGTGTGTTACTCAGTCCACGTTTATCTAAAAATATGGGTTTAGATGATATTTTTGAAAGAAATGAAACAAACGTAAACCCAATATCTCATGAGTCGCCGTTTACGACATGCTAGACATATAACACGGTTGGTCCATTCTTTTTTACATGAGGCTTTTAAGTCGTAGACTAATATGGGACTAAATATGGATATTTTATGTCTGCTGGTTATAGCGGCGCCTGTTGGAAACCATAAGATTTTAATGGCATTTCCAATAGTGGTCTTTTAAGAGACCCATGGAACAAAATAGATTGATGGACGCCACATGGTTTAGAGAATCCATCACTCAGAATATAATGATTTCCATCCATTCCATTACAGCCAGGAGTCAGTCTGAAACCAAAATCCCTATTCCATAGGCCTCCCTCATAAATTGTCTCAAGGGGAAGATTTTTGCCTATTTCCTGTTTCAGTTTCATTTTGTCGCCTCTGACGATGTGGGTTGTAATAATTTTAAACTTGTTTGTAAATAAATCTTCTTTTTCGGTCTTGGTTTTTGAAGGAAAGAAGGTTTTTTTACTTGTTTATTATGTATTAATTAACAGTGCAGTAAAAAATAACTATCCGTTTTAAGAGAAATATCCGTATACCGTTTTATAATAAGATAATGTGAATTAAATTTCAAAGGCGAAACTATACATTGTTTTAGGTTTCCGTGAGCTTGTGAAACCTTATGTGTAGTCCTACGCACTGTTAGTTTTTCACATCACAGCCATGAATATTGTATTTTTAAGTATTCCATTAATTTCATAATTAGATCTATTTTTAATCATGAACTTTTTTTTATAGAAAATGGGTGACAAACGAGCACAGTCCACCTGATGGTAAGTTGTTGCTGTGACCCATAGATCTACATCTATCATCGATTAACAGTTGAAATACAGATGCGTTGTCACCCTTGAGAACTAAGATAGAATGCATCGTTTCCAGTAAAAGGGTCTCCGGTTCTTTACACTAACCATACGGAACACAGTAGCAAAATGCTATTTCACGTCACGTATTCCATGAGAGCGTGGTCCTTCCTTGATTGAGCCCACCCGTTCATGTTATAACCATAACACAGCTGCAGGGTGGCTCTACCATTTAAGCTGTTAAGTTGCAGTCCATCACTAGTAGGTACACTGTAATGTTGCAAAAGATATTGCCGCTGTCTAGTTGCGACTCTATCATGTTAATATTATAATCGATTTTCAGTAAAGAATGATTTTTTTATAGGAGAGGGGGCAAACAAGCATGCACCTCACCTGATGGTAAGTGACTACAGCCGCCCATGAACAACTGCAACACCAGGGGAACCAGGGGAATTGCAGATGCGATGCCGGCCTTTTAAAAAGGAGTAGGCTCTTTTCTTGAAGGTCCCTAAGTCGTATCGGTCCGGAAAAATCGCTGTTGGTAATCGATTCCACAAGGAAGTTGTGCGAGGAAGAAAACATCTTCTAAATCGCACAGTGGTGGATCGCCAATCATCCACATGGTGTGGATGGTATCGGGAGTTCTGCCGCGATGTGCATTCGTGAAATTTGGCGGCTGGGATTAATCCGAACAATTCCTTAGAGCTCTCCTCGTGGTAAATGCGAAAGAAAATGCAAAGGGATGGAACATCTCTTCGCAGCGTCAATGAATCGAGCCGATCGGAAAGGACTCGGTCGCTGACGATTCGAGCCGCTCTGCGCTGGATGCGGTCAAGTGAAAGGAGCTGGCACTGGGGTACCCCGGCCCAGAGATGGGGACAGTATTCCATGTGAGGCCAAACCTGCGCCTTGTAAAATATTTTCCCGCCTTGTGAAATACTGTACCGCTCTGCTGAGCACGCCAAGCTTTTTAGAGGCCCATTTGGCCTTCTCTTCCAAGCGATTATGAAATTGCACGTCACTCGATATGTTGACGCCGAGAATTCCGATACTGGCTGAGGCAACAAGGGGAGTGCCTTGAAACTGAGTAGATACGACAAAGAGGTTCTTTTTAGCGGTAAACACGCAAACTTGTGTCTTCTGGACTAGATTTAGTCGACCCCAATCCGAGACTTTGTTCAGCAAAGATTCGACTCGTACTCGGCGACGTTTTCCCTAGAAATATTGGCACGGCCGGTGTATAGAGCGTCACCAGTGCTGTCATCCGCATAGCAATGAATGTTACCAATTTGCAACATATCAATGATATGCAGAAGAATCAGCGTTGGTGATAGCACACAGCCTTGTGGAACACCAGCGTTAATAGGCTTGTAGTCGGAGCATGCCCTGTCTAAAATGACCTTGATACTCCGATCTGCAAGAAAGCTGGTTATCCAATTGCACAATTTCTCGGAAAGCCCATAGGAAGGGAGCTTCGAAAGAAGCGCTTTGTACCAGACCCGATCGAAAGCCTTCGCAATGTCCAATCTAACGGCAAACGCCTCCCCCTTGGACTCTACTGCCTCCGCCCATCTATGACTCAGGTAGACCAGAAGATCACCAGCTGATCGACCCCGACGAAAACCATATTGGCGGTCACTAATCAGCTGGTGATCTTCAAGGTACCGCATGAACTAACTAACAGTTTATAATGGATTCCATTATTTTGGAGAACAAGGAGGTGATGGCGATAGGCCTGTAGTTCGACAGGTCTGAGCGGTCACCTTTTTTAGGGATCGGGTGGACAAAAGCTGTCTTCCATGATTTAGGGACTACGCCTAGGGAGTAGGAGTACCGGAAAAGACGCGTTAGAACCGGTGTCAACTCCGGAGCACACGTTC